CGACCACAGTCAACTCGTAGCAGATGTCACTACCTTTCAACTGAACCAGCTCGTCGCTCCGTAGAAACAGTTTGATGGATACTAGCACCATGGTAAACAGCTGGAAGTCGTCCAGCGAGTTCGACGACAGCAAATGGGTTCGTATGTCCATAAGTTCCCACGGAGTAATCGGAGAATCACCACCAACCACATACGATGATCCCAGAGCTAAGTTCGACTTCATGGCGTTCGTAACGAGCTCACTGACCTTAGGGTTCCCCTCTTGCCACAACTTGGGGGATCCACGGTGATAACGACACCCTTTGTAGTTCACCTCCTTCTCCATGGCACAACACGCAGCACACGCAAACACAAAGGGACCACGTTGGTTGCGGGATGCATGTAGCACGGACACAGCTGATAGCATTTGATCAACATTCCGTGGATCGTTCCAACCACCTTGGCACTGAACTGGTCGACCCAAAACATCAGTCGCTGGTGTGGCACTGTTGTGCTCCAAAAGTGGAGTACCCTGTTGGTTGCGTTTGAAGTGAATGAATTGGCAGATGACGATGGGGCTCATGGATGGGCAAAACGGCTCGGGTGGATGATCGAGTAGTATGACCAAACTCTCGTAGTCCCCAACAAGGGAACAAAAGAATTTGAGCCCACGTAGGTGTTTGCAGTATGCAGCGATGGAGTTCTGCTTCAGCTGTCGGCATCCAGTAAGAGTGCGTGACGTGTGCGACTGTGAGAGTTCCAAACGAAGGAGCATTGCCGTCACGCCATTGTCGGCCATGGAAGCAATCGTTGTGTCAATGGCATACAAGTCGTTGGTTGATGGCATTATGGACTATGTTAAACAATGATTTAGCAACGTAGAGGCCGTTTACTTCGAAGTATCACATTACTATTGTCGGTTCAACGACAACGGTACTTTGGAGCATCCGAATAATTGTCGTAATATACGGATGGTAGGACTTGGTTGGGTTTGGTAGGAGTTGGTAGGCCAAGAAAATGTCCATATAACGGAAGCAAAGTAAAAATAGCTATTCTACTCCCCGACTCGAATACATATTTGTATTAAACTACCAATTGATACAGGTTAACAATATTCAAAGAACTTATAACCGATCACGTGGTAACCTGTTTTCAAGTTATAATGTTTGCGGAGGTACTGTATCCCAATTTCAGTCAT